TATTGTCGGTTATGCGGAACTTACTCACTTCAATTCTGTTCAAAGAATATATCTATAGAAAATCACGAAGGTTATAGGACTGTTCTTTTATAAAACTTATCCCTTCAGATTAAAACCCTAAAATACTGTCTCAGAGGAAGATATTTGCAATCGGATTCTCCGTCCTGTGGACTGTAATCAAAGGCATTAAAATTAATATTTACACTGATAGCTTATCATCAATTTTTTTCTCTTCTATGTCTTAAAGATAATTCTTATGTAATAACTTAACTTAACCAATGGGCTTCATTCTTATGTAATACAACACAGAAAAAACTTTCTATTTATCACGAACTTTACAATATTTTCTGATTAAAGCTTATATTAATAATTTTTTAATGTTATTACAGATTATTATACTAAGATCGAGTTACTAATAACAATATGAATATGAGTGCTCCCGTCCCTCACTTATATGAGATTAAAATTTGTAAAAATAAATTAATTGGAAACTAGATGAGTTGGGGGGTCAAACTATAGTATTGGCTTACGATTCAAGTACTATTTACCCAAACCTAGCTGGAATATTAAACCTCATTCAAGGAGTGGCCACGGTAGCCTGGTGGTCATGGTCACGAACTCGGGAAAGACGTTGCTTCTGCCAAGTTGTGGATTCACACCCTGGTGTCAGTGAGTGCGGTGTTAATAAACAGTTAATAAATTTTTAGTAAAACATAATATATTTCTATTAGGATAAAATATAACAATGTGTGAAACGTTTTTCATCAAACTTTCAGCCTATGATAGGTAAATAGTTTCTAGTTTGATATATATATATATATATATATATATATATATATATATATATATATATATATATATATATATATATATATATATGTGTGTGTGTGTGTGTAATACATAAAACTTTTATATGATTATCATTATACTTTCTTTTTTGAGATGAAATGCGAAATTTGCTTTATGAAACAATATTTAGCTAAGCAACTCCTTCAAAAAGTAATGATTTATTTTATAAACATTTCTCAGTGTTTGAAGAATTTCTTTTTCTATTATTTCTTGTATGACTATATCCAAAAACATCGGAATTTTCAATATTTTTTTTCCCTCATCCTAATTTTAATTCATTTTTGTGTGTGGGGGGGGTAGAAATGAGTAAAAAAGAGAGCTGGAAAAATTTTTTTGAAATTCAAATGCACTTGAGAAAAAGTTGTTACATCTCATTTTTCGGGCGGAAAATGAAGCCCGTCGATTGATTGATTGATTGTTTATTTACGTCACATTTCGAAGCAACACGAGGACTATTAACGATGGTCCTCGTACTTTTAAACCACAGGCAAATTGTACCACGACACTTGACCTGATACGCCATTCTTCAAATTTCCACTCAAAGCCAACGTAAGAGCTTGATCCCCGGGGGATTTAACACGCATTAGCTCCTCTATACTGTGAATTTTTAGTGATTCCAAAACTTGAACACACGATTAGATAGAAGCAACGCTGGTCACAAGTTCGAAACCCTGTGCCGTGTCTAACGTGGTCAAGTAATTTTAAAATGATTTAATAACAATTTTCTTCCCCAAATCACCTCTTTTTGTATAAATAATAAGGAACTTTATTTAAGACACAGTTTGTTTAAAATGGATCGTGGCTCACATTTGACATTGAACAGTTTTCGTAAATTTTTTCCAGATGCACGAAATATTGTATTATTGGTTTACATTATTTTCGCCTGTTCTTAACAGAATTTTTTTTTACTACACCCAATAATGAATCAGGATTCATATTTAAAAAATAAAGTATAAATTTTTCAAAAATATAGCTAATAAAATCTATCAACTTTCAAATAAAAAAACTACATTAAGAGGCAATTGATTCTGCTGAGGGTAAAGAAAAAGCAATAAAAGTGTAAAGAAGGGAAAAACACCTCTGAAGGACATGAAGCCCTTGCAATTCTCTAGTATAATAAATATCTTTGAGTATACGTGTCACAGGAAGTAATACTTACTCTCTTTCTATATAAAACAAAGAAACCTTTTGAATGTACGACCACCAAAATGATACATATCTAACCATCACTTTAGTTGCGAGTACAATAAAATCAATAACAAAACCATTACAATAAAATGAATCCTTACAGTTCTGTCTTTATTGTCTCAACGAATCCGAAGTGCTTTGCACAGTTTGGGCAGCCACGAAAACAACGGTATCGAGTTTACCTAATAACAATGGGAAAAATTTCCAACCCCCGTTGCTACTGTCAGAGAATAACAGTTTGAAACCTTTTAAATTCTATTGATTGCTCAATGTACTCGGAAATAAGCAATGTTATTTGTACCATTGATGTTATTTTCACTATGTATACGAGGGTTGGGGCAAAAGTCATGGCAACTGTTTTTTTTTCCTTGAAGATACCAATCCGGTTGGAAAATGTGACATATACAGACGAAAGGACAAGGTGTTAACTACATGTGTGGACAAAGAATAGCAGTGAAATATCGTAACACACTAATTTATCACGGTATTATACACATATATAAATCAATATGGTCTTCACGGTGCAAAAGAATGACAACACAGTACTCAGTACACCCACCGTGCTACTGTACGGTATGGTAAGGCATTACTTCCAAGGGCTTCCACTAATTCACTGTAATATTCCATTACATTTTTCCCTCGGAGAACGGCTATTTTGATGTAAGAACGCTGCTCAACACGGGTTACTTCCATCACACGACACTCACCAACTGACTGACTTCACAGCCCTCGCAGCGCTACTACCAGCTATCACAGAGCCATCTGTTCTTTTGTATACACACTATGCCTATAGAACTTCCCCACGACACATATACGTTTGTGATCCATTCACAGATATACAAGAAAAAATAGTTGTCATGACTTATGCCCCAACCCTCGTATTTACGTTTATTATTACACACTTAACATTAATGTATTTAATATAACAATTCACATGACTGTCTAATTTTTTGATTTTCCAAAGTAATGACTTTACTTTTTCAGTTCTTTGTAATTTTAAGCATTTTAATCTTAATCAAGAGTCCAAATTTAATTAAAATTTCGTACATTTATAAAAAAAATATCAAACATTTGAAATTTTTTTAGTTTCGGAGTTACGCACTTCACCCCCCTAAAGAAATTGTGACGGGGCTTTATTCCGCCTTCCCACTATTCCTCTTGGGGAATCTTTAGGGCCAGAATGGCATTTCAATCCAACCTTCTCAAGAAGAAACCGTGATATGCAAATTAGAGAACAGATACATAAGGGAGCTTTAGCATTCACGAGTTAGTGGAATAGAAGCCGGAAAGTTGAATAAGAGCGGAATAGAAGTCGGATAGTAATAGAATAATAGTGGAAGAGATTAGAAGACAAAAAGAAAGAGAGAGACAGAAAGCCGAGGGCTGCTCGCCGTGAGATATCGTTGAGATTAATTATTAAACGGACTTTAGCTTATTAAGGAATCTACAATAGATAAAGATTCTGTGGTTAACTTCTCGTAAAGATAGTGAGTAGGATTTCAGGCGCTATTTTACTTAGAATTGATAATTGCGTAGTATTACTCCTGATCAGTCCCCTCTAGTAAGACTTGTGTTGCGTTGCTCAATATATATTTAGAGAATAATAAATTAGATTTATTATGGAGAATTTGAGTGGCCAATCATTTATTCCTACTATCTAGGTTGCGTGGGTGAAGAAATGATACCCCCTGGCCGTGGGGTATCACAAAGTTATCATTTGATGTCACATGAATACTTCATATTTTACTCTCTAGCAAGCCAGTACACGAAATGAGCCAATTCTCTCAGCACTTTTAAGAGACCATCACCCAGTGGAGTACATAAGGATGGGATTTGGGGTTCAATTTCCCTCTTACAGACCAACAGATTTTTATTTTTTATTATAGACATTACCACCTCCGTGTGTGTGTGTGTGTTTTTTGAATGTCTGTAAACGCTACTTCCATCACCATCCGGGAACCGCGGCCGCAAAATGAAACCGGAAGTATTAACAATTGTTAAAAATTCAAAACCGAAACACCTCTTAACTGATTCAGAGTCACAGCTATTCTTTCTTCTGCTTCTAAAGGTTATTGCTCTTAGTTTACATTTGCATATTTGACGTGTTCTTATTAACCAGAAATTATAAAATAAAACAACATTGCTGAGTATCGGAAATAAGTAAACTACATAAATCCAGCGCGTGTACTAACTCGAGACCCAAAGAGCTTTCTTTAATGCAGTGAAAAATGGCTGCAGAGGAATTGCAATCCGTCATCATCTTAATTTCACCACCTATACTCAGCAGCAGGTATACTAAATAAACAGACGTTTCTTTAGTCCTAAGTTTCAGCCACGTCGGATGTGTCAGTCATTCATAATAGGCGGGGTAGACCCGTCGGGCCTCTCGTGTCAGCAATTTTTACGCTCTTTTTATATTAATAAAAAGAATAAAGAGTGCTGCTGGCGCTCTCTTCTCCACCCTGTAATTTATAGTCTCTCCTATGTTTGCCTCTCATGCATCAAACCTGAAAACGAGGCAGTTACGAGGCAGGCAGTGAAGATTTCAAGCTCGCAGCAATCTATAGCTTCCGTTAGATCCGACTATTTAAGTAAAGAACGCTTCGGTAAAATTTATTCTATGTAAGACCACATTTATTAGTAAAAGCTGTATATGTGACTTGATATAGATTTCTTAGACTCTAGAAATTCAAAAATACACAAACACATATTTCAATAATTTAAAAATTACTTCCTTTTTCAATTATATATATCTTGTTCAAATTTTCAATTGTTAATAAAATACTTTCTATTTTCAAACTCACTCAAGTTCAAATACATTTTTCAACCTTGTAGTGGATAACACTTGATGTTAATGCAGTTTTTTCAAATATTAAATCATAAATTTTTTAATTAATGAATAAATAGTAAGAAACAAAAATAATAGTCCAACACGACATATTAAAAGGTAAATCGTTCTTTGTATCCCTGTAGCGCCATGGGTAGCGCGTTGGACTTTTAATCCAAAGGTCATGAGTTCGAGTCCCACCTGGGATGTCCTAATTTCTGAGAAAGTGATTTATTTTTTATTATACTATTTTATCGCGGAATAATGAATGAATAAATAGTAACAAAAAAAAATAGTCCAACACCCTATATAGAAAGGAAAATGGAAAACTGCAAGGAAAATTGCCTTCTGTTTTGTCATTTAATACTATGATTATGTCATACGTGTATACATATTTATATTAATTCTAACTATTTAATAAGAAGTAAATAAATAAAAAAATTTCTTTGTTGACCTAAGTAAGAATTGACTAAAAAAAGTTTATACATATATATGTATATATATATATATATTACTCTTGTTTGTTATATCTTGCAGATATTTTTGATGGACATAATGCAGACTTCAAAGAAGTTAAATTTTATAGGAGAGATTTTATTTTGGTAGTGAAAAGGTAGGTAAATTTAGTTTTAAGAATGTTGAATTAACTTTATCACGACTAACATTTTTCCGCATTTTAAAATTGGCGTGTGTGGTTGTCGAATTTAATTTTAACCTATCAGCATTTTTATACAGAATATCGAAATAGAACGTAAGCCTAATGTAATTACGTAAAAGGGAACGTTTAGGGAAAAAAAGAAATGTCAAATCAATTAGCACTAATGATAAAACATTTTTTTTTTTTTTTTTTTACTTTTACTACTTACATTTTCAGCTTATTTTGTTGTGTAATGATACAATACTGTGTTTTTTCACATGTTTTAGGCTATTTGGTAAGTATAATTTTGTGCAATAATAATGTATATTTGAGCAAACAAAAACGAATGCTTGATAAAACTACGCATTGATCCAAATTAAATTGATACATTGATGCAAAAAAACCTTACACATTTTTATGTATTTTTCTTATGATTTTTATTTATATTACGCCCAAACAAACCAAAACGAGCAGTTACACACTTAGCAATCTTAAGCCCCCTGTAAGTGGTAAATAAAAAGAAAAAAAAAGCTTCTGCTATGTATATTAGTCTCTGTAAGTTGAAAATTTATTCTAATAAACTTCATTTACAACTGACGCATTCATCCAAATTGAATTGACACACTGATTTAAAAAACTATGCATTGTTATGTGTTTTCATGTGATTTTCTCTTATTTTACGTCTAAACAAACTAAATAAACAGTCACATACTAATATTTACTCTCAGTAACCTTATAGTCCTGAAAGGGTTAAAATGAAATAGAAAGAGTTGAACGTCAAAGAATATGTATTTATATAGAACAAGAAAAAAACGTTCGTTTTCCGCCACTTAACAATATGAAAGAATATTGACTTTATAAAACGGAATCACACATTTTTTCGAAAAATTTTTTGGAATCAGTTCATAAAAAAACACTTGAAAAAATCAGCGATACCTGACAAACAGGACTTTAAAAATTACACTAAAAAAACGCATGGTTGCAAAGAAAAGGATACATTTTAGTTTTTAGTTACAAAAATTAACAAAAAATTTTAAGAGCGATTTTTTTTTGCATATTACTCCGTTATGATTTCATTCATTCGTCGAAGTAGTTGTGTAATTCTTTAAAATAATTCCATTATGTATATATTATAAATGTAAATGGGTAGTTCTTCCTTTTCTTTATCCACAAGAATAATAATGCAATAACAGTAGTTTGCGCGAGTGTTTTGAGTAATCAACAATGTCTGGATCCCAGTTAATAAGGTATCTGACATATTAGCAATCCAATACTGATATACTTTACTCCTAAAAAAGGTACTTTCTCTTCACAGTTTACAAAACATTTGAAATCAATATATTAAATATTATTTGTGATCCTTTATTTGGAATAAGAGTATTATAATTTTCAAAAGCCTTGTATGATTTGGAATATAATTGTGTTTCATTACCTCACAATTCGGAAATATTTGATGTGAAGTTATTACAAAATGAGCGTTTCACAACTATATTTTGGTATTTTAAAGTTTCTGTTAAAATGTATTAACTCAAGTCATTTCCTCGTTTTTTTAAAAAAATTTAAACTGAAATTAAGCATGCTTAATACATAAGCAGGAGTCTTAAAAATGTCTTAAAAATATTTGGTTAAAAGTATTTGGTGTGCGTGTGTTGGTTTGTTTATTACTCGACAAAACAATGAGTACGGTGACATCCATCACATTTGTTTCTCAACTGATAGTTTATTCTTTCATAGATCCTTTTCTCTGTCAACGAGTCATCTTGCCTCATGTTGAGGGGATGTCTTTAGAATGCTAAATAGAACGATCTTTCATCACAAATCTTGTGAAATTGTTTTTGACTTCCATCAGAGTATCTTTTCTTCCATGGTACACTGAAGCCCTTTTGTTCACATTGACATTTCTGAAATGTCTAGCATACGTATATATAATACATAAGTATTTTATACCTACATGCAAGCAAATTATCGCCACAAAGTTGCCTTTGATAGCTCAAATGGAATTTCTAATAGAAAAAGTAATAATCCAAACTAAAACTACTTGAATCTCGATTTAAAACCATATTATTTTTAATTAAAATTAATTCCTGTAAAGACAAATTACTTTCCTAGTTCCAAAGGATTAAATTATAAAAGGTAAAAACAATCTATAATTAACAAATAATAAGGACTACTAAAAACTTGCGCAACTATTGCTTAATGTTCATTAACCATATATCGATCTAGAGGGAATCTTAAAGACCATTTAAAGCAGGGGTACTCAAACTTTTTTTTTCACCGGGCCACATACATAGCACAGGTATTTTATGAGGGCCGCAGTATGAGGATAATGGAAAAAAAAACACATGTTACTAGACCAAAACAGCATTTCGTCAAAGCAAAATTGATCAAAATATTAAAACTCAATGTTTTTGGCTTTTATTTTAAGGTATCCGACTACGTTCGGAACCGTGATTTAAAAAAAGCGCATAAATAGATAATTTCCATGATATTTAGTGTCACTTAGATTAGAATACATGTATAAAATTGTTTTAAGGACATATGAACAAAAAAGTTTATTTAAATACAATATGTTGGCAAAAAATTAACTTAGAATTATCTTTTTTCAAAATGTTTTCCTTTAATAAACAATGCTTCTATATAAAATAATAATATTTCGCTTATATAAAGTAAAGACTTCTCCAGAGAGTCTGAACTAGGATTTTTGAAAAATTCACTTTATTTTCAGAGTTATAACCAATTGAAATAATTATCGGCGTTTTTTTTTTCTTAAAATTTCTCTCCTCCGTTGTCGTAAAACATGGATAAACTCACTTCTAAGTTATGTATTTCAAAAATTCTAGTTGAGCCTCTGTATAGAGGTCTGAGCTATATATACAGGCAAAATATTATAATAATAGAAGCATTTTTCACAAAAGGAGAATATTTTGAAATGGGTCATTCTATGTTCATTTTTTGTCAAAATATTGTACTTAAATAATTTTTTATTGTAATAATATTCTTAAAACAATTTTTATATACATTTTCTATTCTAAGTGACACTAAATATCATAAATATTATCCATTTATACACTTTTGCAAAATCACGGTTCCGAACGTAGTTGGATACCTTAATGATGAAAGTACTTCGGGTGGCAGACATAAAGGACTGTAAGATTTTATAGAAAAAAAAGATAGTTTGTGTGAGAAATGTGATTTTTTCAACGACGTATTCCAAATCTCATCAGAGCATCCTTAAATCTATGTCATAAACACAAGGATGGTAACTTTTTTTATTAATGTTTACAATTTGAACTAAGGTGACTGCCTACCTTGAGAATATCGTTTTTCGTCTACATAAGGCATTTTTTTATTTCAAAATCTAATAGTTTGAACATTTTTCTTTCCAAAACAGTTTTTCTTAAAATTATGTTTTCGAGAGAAACTCTTTACCAGATACATAATACCTTAAGAACCAGAGCAGATAACGTTTTGAAATTTTGTGGGAATGTTTATTATACTACTTTTCATAAATTAGACCATGAGTTTTGTTGTCGGTTAAATATTTTTTCATTTAGGGTAGTTTTTGTAAAGAAAAAACTTTAAAAATATCAAAATTTTCATATTATTATGTATGATTTTCAGTAATTTTTTTGTATTTTAATATTCCTCTTAGATTTTTGGTTCATTTTGAAGAGCACCATATTATGTATGTTGTGTGTAGAGAAAATTATGATAATTGTATTAGAAATTTTTATACAGTGTTACCCGTTTTAGTAAAAATTTGGTAAAATTTTCTTGGAAACAACAAATTTTTCTTAAAGTACAATATTTATTTCAAAAATTTTATGGTATTTATATACATAGTTTTTTTTATTTTTCTTCCTAAAAACACTCAATTTGTTTCAAAAATTTGTTTTTATAAAAGAATTGGGTCCGAAGGTAGGCAGTTACCTTAAAAAAATAATTCTCTCACACACACAACACAAGTGAAATATATATACCTTCATCCTTATAGGATATGCTTCAGGGGGGAATGAAGTTATGATACTTTGGGGAGTTATTGTTTGTGTTGAAAAAAGACGATTTCAAATGGAAAATTTATGTAGACACTTGAAATTTTAAATTCTGATATTCAATTTAATTTTCTTCATGTTAGTCAAAATTTGAATGCAAATATATAGTCATAACGTATAATAATAATAAATACAGTTCAGAAGATGCAAACATTAATGAAATACTGAAAGCTTTCAAAAGACTGTCAAAATTTTCAGAAAAGCACCAGTAAGAAACGACATGTTGCTACGATTTATTGAAGGGTAAAATATAATTTTATATTAGCCCAAAACCGGAACCAGGTCATAATTAGTAACGTGCTACGAAAATAGTACTGATATTTTTTCTGATATATTGCAACTGAAACTAAACAGTACTGCTTTGAGGAATTTTTTTATAATTGTATTTTAGAAAGGTCAAATAATGGATTAATGATTTATTATTGTTATTATTTTGTATAAATTCTTGTGTGTGTGTGTGTGTGTGTGTGCAAAGGGGAATTTTTCCACAGAGTTGAAGGAGGCTATATATATATATATA